CGTGTCATGCATGCGGACCTACAGGGATTGGAAAGCACACTTCGAGCGGCATTCACCTGTGGGTCTGGTAACTAGCCTTTGCTTCCAGAATGTTGTTGCAGGTTTTTGTTCAGAAAGAGGAAACAGCCTTGTTTTTGCCATAGTGCATTTGCTAGTGTTCAATAGTAGAGGTATACCAAAACTGCTCAATGTGAGGAAGGAGGGCTTTTGGTGGACAAAACCGCAAACCACTTCTTCCTCTTCTGCAAGAGAAGAGGAGATGCGATAAGCCAAAATAGTTTTAAAGCAATTCCCAAATGTTCAATCCCTTTGGTTTTGTGCCCTGAGACCTGCCGAGCCATCTGGACCAGAATGAGGGAACCGTGGGGAATCGGCGGGTGAAGAGCGACCAGGATACGTTCGTAATGGTGAAGGAATATATTTCATCAACGGAGCTGCGACAAGCACCACTGTTAGTCCTTCGGGCAGAGGACCGAGATACCTTTCCTTTGGTTGCAGATGGAAGCATGGCTTGTTCTTTGTGTATGTGTATTTGTTGGTCTTTTGCTGGATGCTGTACAGGCTTTCTTTTGGGATCCCAAATCTTCAAACATCTGAAACATATAGAACGATATTATGGATTTAATGTGTTGATTGGATGCAAGGTGTGATGGCCCGACGACCAGTGCACCAAACAGTGAAAGATGGATGGCTTGCGCTAGCTGACATCTTTGACCATTTACTTGGAGGCAGCGCAGCAACAACACAAGCAGCAGCATACTTGAGAGGATTGGCCAGAGACAATCTTCCACTACATCCTTTGCCTGATTTGCCGTGGCATCGTGAGGAGGCTGTGATAGAAGCCATCGTTGCAAACCCTGAACCCCATCCAGTTGTGTTGGGGGTCCTTTGTCCGTCTGCACCCTTAAGGGCTGTATGGCGACGCAACCTACGTCATTGAGGGTTCTTCTTTTTGCTGGATGTACTTCAAAGCATTATGGCAAAACGGTGTGCTTGAGCAGGGAAAGCCATCTAGTTATTGCTAAGACCAACTCCACGTGGATGGAACATGGACTTGTTGATTGCAGTGTTGATACTTTGAGCATGTCATGGATTAGACATAGTTCCACTCTTGGGTGTTCTGAGGTGATGCCACTGTGAAGACTTCTGAGTGTGCAAGTGTGGCAGGCCAAATGGACTGGCGCGCACTTTTGAATATAGAACGACGCATCTCAAGTCAAGGCATCCATCCATCTATACATTGATACTATCACATACACTTAATATTAATACATACATTCATTTTTCATAATTACTTGAATATTTAGATAAATATCTAATTGTATGCTGTTTGCATACTCACATGCTGTACAAACACACATACTCACATGCTTCCAAACTAACTTACTCGCAGTTGCATATTGGCTGTTTTCATACATCTACCTACCTACCTACCTACATACCTATCTACGTACATACATACATACACATACATAGACATACACACATACACATGCATACATACATTCATTCATTCATACATACTTATTTACATACATACACAACACACATACATAAATACATACATCAGTTCATTGATACATCCATCACTCCGTCCATCCATCCATCCATCCATCCTTGTTTTCTTGCCACATATGTGCATGCATCCAAACAACATGTAAACATCTGGTTTCTATACACTGCTCTTTCCCACCAACATGAATATATGAACCTGTACACCCATGAATCCATACAACATGCACACAGTATACATTTGCACACGCGTCCAAACCTAATCAAAGGGGTATTGAAATTGTATATGGAGCATATACTTGCAATGAAGATTCACCCATGTGATATGCATCCATCCCATCCATCTTGTTTTCAACCAAGTGCATTGAACTGTTCCACACAATCATGGAAAACAAAAAGCACCACATTCACACAAACAAGCAAGCCATAGATCCAACCACCAACCTGCCATGTGAGTCTAGATAACCACACACACCGATGCACACCTCCATCCAACAGTCATCAGACCTGCCGTAATGTCTCCAAACATTTCAACAAGACATGATGACAACACACTGCTGGAGATACTATAAACATTGAATAAGCATGTTTCAGCCACAGTAGAACTAGCTCTTGCTTCTTCATCCAATCCACAAAACAAGACACACACAGAAAGCAAATAATATAAAGCTGCCTTCCTATTATTTCAAACAAATATATTATATATATATATATATCCCCCGTACATGTTCCCTTGGGTGTCTTACATTACATTTCATAGACAAATTGTGTCTATAGAATGAGTTGCCTGGGATAAGTTGTCTATAAAATGACAAGCCTTGCATGTATTTATATAAAATGATTACCAGCATGTGAAAACAAATATAAAACATATCACAATCAAAAAACAATCTCTATAAGATGAAGTTCTACCCCTTGACATCTTGATCTTAACAACATACAACAATATGATCCCCCTGCTCGCTCTATAGAATGCCCTTCCTGCATCCTTGCACACAATCCCATCTGAAGTACATACTTGCTCAAGCAGCCCTCTATAAAATGATGTCCTGTGATGTTCAAATATATTCTGTAAATCTGAAACCACATATTCTATATAAAATGGGTGTCCAAAACCCATTTCATAGAGGAAAGTGATTGTCATTTCATAGAGCCTCATGTACGGGGGATATATATATATGTTTCTTTCACAAAAACACCTTCCAAAGTCAGAGACCAAATATATATAGACTCTCACAAATTGTGAAACATGTTCGCCTGCAAATTTTGATCCAGTCTAATGACACACCAGTTGAAAGTACAGTAATGACCAATAGCCGTGGTATGCATGTAGCTAGACACATGCACACACTTTGTAGTTGGATGGCTGGATGGGGGTACAAAACACCCAGAAAAATGGCAATCTCTGTTGGATATGAGCATCGATTGATCTTCCCAAAGGTAGTTGGGGGTGACATTGCAACCCCCTGAAAATCGTGGGAAGATTTTTTGGCCAGACGACCAGACCTCAACCACAAGCAAAGCAAAGCAAAAGAGAAAAAAACAGGAATTCCTGGACCTGAATGCGTCAAAGTGATGCCACCTACGGAGACTTTGATGCGTGCTAACGCCACCAAAGTCTTTGTTGTCCAGGTGCCGGACCACAAAGAAACATAAGCAATTTTAAGTGGAACGGAGACTTTGAACTTTTCTGAAAACTCAAGAGTCTTTGCGCCGACTAAATTTTGTATAAAGTCTTTGTGGTCAGGCACCCGGACAACAAAGACTTTGATGCGTGCTAACGTCACCACTTTCTTTGTGGGTGTGATCAAATCCACGAAGTTCGAAGTCGATGAGTCCTCAAAAGTCTTTGTGGTCCGGCTGCCGGACAACGGAGAGTTTGGTTGAGTCCCCCACCCGACCTACGACGATTTGGATGGGTTGCCACCCCACCTACGATGATTTTGATTGAGTCCCACCACAACCTACGACGATTTTGCTTGAGTCCCACCACCACCTACGACGATTTTGGTTGAGTCCCACCACCGCTGACCTTTTGGAAGAAGCCCTTGTTGCTGGATGATAGGCTCAATGTGTTGGATGTCAAGGATGCAATGATCATTCAGTTCAAAGATGACAAACAACATCAGTGATAACAAATCAGTTTTGTTTTTTCCCCAAAGGACTTCCCCAACTTTTTTTGATGGAGTCACCCTTGCTTCGTGCTGGAGTAGCAGCAGCTGCTGCAGCACTATGCCTCAAAGCCGGAGAAGATCCAGCTTCGATCAAGAAGGAGGAGAGTGAGACCGAGAGCAAGGTAGTGAAAGCAAAAGCTGAGGTTGAACCTAGTTCTTTGCAATAGAACTTTTTGTTGTGTGAAAGTAAGTCTGAAGTTTAAATATTTCATGTTACATTTGTTTACACCTTTTTACTGTGTTTGGCACTGAGGCCAAAAAGGAACAAGAGGCATCAGCAAAGAAGCGAAAAACAGAATGGCAGGCAGGATTGGCCAATCTCCCTGGAGATACAAGACTTGTCCAGGACATCAGGGTTTCAACAAGTTTTCAATTGTGTTTGTTTGGTAGATAGTACTTTCATGTTGCTAGTTTTCAGAAGGTCCGGTGCAGCCAGCAAGAGTTTTGTTTGGGATAAGAGCTGCCAATAGGAAGTCCTCAACTTTCTGTCCATGTTTGCTGACACCACGGAAGCTGTCACCATGAAGCGTGCTTGTCATCCGCTGGACATGGTGATGGACCACTTCAAGACTGAGGAAACAGCAGCAATCCAGCATGACCGGCTGAAGACATTCCTGGAGGATGCACTCAAAGTGCATGGCAAGCCGTTTGAACAAGCACCATCTCCTGCAACCTGTCTGATTAATTGTTCAGACTTTGTGTGCTCAAAGAAGACTACAGTACATGTAAAACACCTTCATTAGACAGCTCCTGTGGACTATTGTTGTTAGATTCGAATTGAGGACATCGACAGCTTGAAGGATGGAAGCAAGCAGCATCTGACCACCCGAGTGCCATTGAATCTGATTGTGTTGGCCAAGCCGGCTGATGGTCTTCCTTGCATTGGGGACTTCTTGACCACCTGCGTGTCTTTCATCTTTTCAGGCTCCCGATTACATCGAGAGCCGATTGACCTCTACTTGCTCAATGACTCAAGCTCAGAAGCCAAAGGGCTCATGGGCATCAAGAAGGGCTTTACAAGGTTGAGACTTGTTCCAAAGATTAAGAGGCTTTAAAACATTTCCCCAGTGTTCAACATCCTGCGTTTCAGCTCATAATTCAGAGATCAGTTTCAAGCAAGGACGTCTGCTTTGCTGCTCATGCTGATTGCCGCAGACATGGACCCTGTTTCTGCCAAGGACCAAATACTTCCATTCCGTTGACCATGAGTATTACATGGTTCAAAGGTGTTTTATTCACAGATACGTGGGATTAAACATCCAATGAAACCATTGCAAGGACTTGATCCTTCCTTTGCTTCCAGCATTCTCCGAGATGTTCGCACTACCAGCCTCAATAACACGAGGCTCTGATGCCGAGATGGTGTCATTTGAGGCGATCCAGCTGAGCACACAAGGCTCTGAGAGGCAGCGAAAAGACGTTCCTCTTCTCAATATTTATTTGTGAAACTTTATATGCTTGAATTTTTTAACATTACCTGTGACCTATGTTTTTGCCATGTGATCTCTAAGATTATGAAAGTATCACAGCGATTCGAGCAACTGATGCAACAACGTCGCCAGCAACCTGACGGCATTACCCTGACAGACCAAGACCTACTCCAAGAGATCGTCAGCAGATACAACTCGTACAAGGCAAACGCTGCTTTGAAACGGTGGCAAGTGACTCCAGACCAAGTCCAAGCGATATTGGGAATAGTGGTTGGCATGTCAGCAGAGAGCCGCGAGTTGGTGAGGTCACACTTGGATTGGAACAAGTGGGAGCAGTCTGGTTACCTGGATTCCTTTAAACATTTTGACAGTCAGATATGTTATGCATTTGTTGGAACCAATTTTCAAAACCATAAGGCCAATGTATTTGAAACTAGTGGTTCCATGGCTCAAGATAGGCTACAATGAATCAATCCTGAGATCAAAACGACATCAGCTTCATGAATGTCCAAGAGGTGTCACAGGGCTTTGGCAAGATGTCTTGACCGAAGCTTTTCTTGATTTGGAGCGTTCTTTTGATTTGGCTATATGTTGAACATTTTTTGGCAGTGAGTTTCCACTTATATATATAAGGACATTTCTGGATCATTGCTCCAAGGTCACACCAGAGTCTCAGCTGATTCACTTCAAGCGGTACAACCACTGGTGGTCTGTGAATGCAAAGAAGCTGAAAGCCACGATGCGCCAGCGCTTGCGCTGGTCTGAGGAGGTCTGGGCTCGCAGCGTGGATCATGCTTGTATTGCAGCGTGGGTGGTGAATGAGTGCAAGAAGGATTCAAATGCATCCCTTCTTAATTGTATGGTTTTTCATAATTTCCCCAATGTGTGTATCTGTGTGCCTCTATTTGTAAATAGTTGCATACATCACAGTCGCCAACATTTCTCACATGGATTTTGTCACCCTGAATGCATAGGTAACCCAAGACATGGTTGACTCAATGATGAACGGCTTCATGAATGGGTGCTCTGGCTCTGGCATTCTTTGTAACACGTTTTTGTTCCTGATGAGTGCATTATGTCAATCACTTATTGTTGTTAATGGTCTAACTTTCCCCACAGCTTGGCTGATGTGCTTTCACCAATCCAAACATGTTGAGGGACTATGCGCAAGATCTGGATGCACTTGTGATGGCAAAGCCAAATGGCTTGAACGTACAAATGATTGGGATGTGGCAGGACCACATAGGCAAAGCAATCATGAGGAAGGCTGGTGGAGACAAAGCCATGGCAGTTGATCAAGAGACAGCTGTTCAGGATGCAGAGGACCGGGCCATTGCAGAATGTTTAACTGGTTCAACAACAGTTTTCAATTGCATGACTAAATGCAACTTACTGGCTACAGGTTACAATATAAATATAATGTCCCTTTGTCAGCAGCAGTTGGTCAGGAGAACCTGCGAGCAGCTGAGTACCAGGTCACTTGCGCCAATTTGGGACATGACTATCGTGAAGCAGTCACCTACAATCTGAAACGCAACAAGGTCAGGGTGTGTGTGTGTGAAAAAATGCAAGCACACACAAACACACACATATATATATGTCATGCGTATTGGTGTGTTTGTTTGTGTTTGAGGGTGCATTCTACTGTCATTGTTGAATAATGTTGATCAGTTTGGGCTGGAGACCTTCCCCTGTTAGGTTGAAGGGACACGCCATGTCACAAAGGTCCTGCACCTGAAAGGCCAAATCGACACAGGGCTACGATTGGCTGAGCAAGTGATGGAGCGTCGATGCTTGCTGGTTTGCTCAGAATCTTCGAAGTCACAGCCGCTTGCAAGCATGACCCGGCGCATCATGAATGCGGTCAACGCCAAATTTGGTGAGGCTGACATCACGAAAACTCACCACTTAGGTTTTTGTGACCTATCGAAGTTCGGGAGGTTGACAGCTCTTGCCATAGATGAAGTGGCCAAATGGGCCAAAGGCATTCTCGACATGAACCCAGACTTCAGCACCTTTCAGGCATATGTATTGTGATTTGCTTTACCTTTTTTGCTCCTGTGATCCTTTTCAATTTGTCCAGTCAAGAAAATGAAACCCAAGGCATGCGCTTGATCGTGGCCCCAATCCTTGCTGGGGAGGGTGTTCTCAATGGACTTCGAGGAGAATACCGGCGCGTTGAGGATAAGTTCATGTCTATGAACATGGAACTCAAGACGGCGCAGGTCATGTTTGACTTGACAACACAGCATGGCAACAGGACGGTGTGCTGTTTGTGCATTGTTTCCAATTGACTTTTCGATTTGAGTTGAAGTAGTTTGAACAAAATAGAAACACATCCTGGGAAAGTATATAAAGCATCCACATGTCTTCATACACGCCTGCCCTGGAGATCCATGCCACAGCTGCTACAAGCATGGATGGTTGTGCTTGATACCACACTTGGCAGCAAGCTTGGCACCTTATACAAGGCCCCCAGAAACAGCGAACGGGATCTTAAAGACACCAATGCTTGGACCAAGAACACCTTTTGGAACATTGGTGTTTGCAAGCCTTCAGTCCCACTTGCACCAAGCCATTGGCCGGCATTGTATTGTTTTTACTTTTTGCATTGGGTTTGAATCAGGCAATAATGTTGAACCACTTTGTTTTCAGAATTTCAATCACAACCACAGCAAGGTGACTATGTCACACCTGAGTCAACCACCTTCTTTTCCCATGAGCAAGGACGTAGTTTGACCGACGCATTGTAGCAAGTATGAATTATGGGTGTCTTGTGTTTCCTTGAATATTTCTTGTGAATAGATAGACCTAGTTGTTGCGTGTGTGATGTGATGTTTTGTTTTGGGGGGTTAGCTGCCACCAGCAAGGACAAGGAGGAGACTGCTCAGTGGCTGAGCTCGCCAGCCACATGCAGGGCAATTTTGGAAGCTTGCCTTTCCAAGGTCAGTTCGCTCAAAGGTCAAGCGTGCCTTGTTCACCACATGTCCCTCTACGATGGTGCGTGGGAGCAGGTGGTTTGTGAGATGATGACTGAGCTGGCAGACAGCTGTCACCTGGCTTTGTTTTCACAGACCGACAACCCAACGGTGTTCCAGTATGCTGCCACACAGGTCAAAGACAAGTTGGTTGAGGCAGAAAAATACAAGCGCGTACATTATATGATTCACAAATACAATGTTTTGACAAAGACGGACGTTTGGATATAATATGTTCTTGTTGAACATTGAGCATAGATAGCTTTTGTCACACTTTTAATTTTACATTGGCTGGAGTCAAGTTTGATCCTGAGCAGGACTGGAAGGCAGGACGTGGGCTCATGGGAACCTTGAGCCCGAAGTTCATGGCTCAGCCAGACTTGTCAGATGTGCAGGAGCCTCGTCGACCAGATCTTCGGTTGTGCAAGATGGCTGCCAACGGCCATCTTCAATTACCAGATGTGGAGAGGAAGAAATGGCTTGAAGACCCAATCCGGAGCAACTAGACACAGTTTTGTCATGTTTTTTCACTGGATGTTTTTCCACATGTTCTTAGTTTGTCACTAGTGTTTTCCAAGAAAGTTATTGCAAAAGACATTGTGCAATAGCTTCAACAGCACCTACGATTCAGACTGGAGAAACCGTCTCAAGAACTTTGACTCGGTGTTTGAAGTTTCGGCCAACCCGGAGCAAGCACCCCCGCCAACTCCAGCGGTTGCTGATGAGAACCTGGACCTGGCCTCTGAGACACAGAATGCAAGGGTCCTTCCACAGTCTTCAGGTGAAGCTCCTCCCCACATGACACAGGACGAGTTCAAGGAGAAATATCCAGAGGTGACAGCAACCACGTCTCTCAACATGGGTGGCAACAGCATCGTGTGCCACTACATTGATTCAGGCAAAGTCTTTCTGACAAGTCCAACCAAGGTGTTTGTGGCAGGTGTGGATGCCTCTTCTCCAAAGCCGTTATTCACATATGCTGGGGGATCATGGATCAGTGATTCATCGAAGGCTGCAAGTTGCAAACAATACCAAAACGGTTTTGGAATTATGTTTGCTTTTGTTTGTTAAGCATTTGGCCACCAAGTTTGTTCTGCTTCAAAGCTGACAGCAATAAAGCCACTGTTGCAGGCCAAGGACTTTCTTGCCAAAACAGCCAACGAAAACAAGGGGGTTGAATTTCGCTTGGACAGCACTGATGACCTCGTGTCTCAGCTTGTTATCGGCAATTTTTGTTTTGATTTTTAGAGACTGGTTCAATCTTCTGGACAGCCAGTCAAACAAGAACAGCCTTGATTACAATGTGACTAGAAAGCCCAAATGAGCAATGAAATCTTGAAGCTGGTTTAAGGTTGTACTTGAAGAAGCAGTTCAAGGCGGAGGTCCACAGGACACATCTCCAATGAAGCTGTTCAAGCTTCTGACAATGCTGGAGCAGCGTGGAGTGGTCGACTACAATGTCACTGGGCACAAAACCGAAAGACCAAGTGAGGTCAAACGTGGTGAGGCAGCTGATCGGCTTACCATCAGCCATGAAAGCTTCTCTGTGTACAAGCCAAATTCCGTATCGGTGAAGAACGTGAAAGCGGGCAGCCTTGCTGGCCTGGTTGGCACAAAGCCCTTGAGTGGATCAAGCCATGTCCAGCTTGTGTGGCGCAACTGGGTGAGTTTTGGCAAAGCCTTTTTTGAAGATACATTTGTTGGCGGATCTTGTCAAGACTTGCCAGTAGATCCTTGTCATGGGTATTGGTCTTGTTTTGAGGCTTGCGCCACTACGTACGTGAGAAAGTCATTGGCCCTGCTAAGCCTCTTTGGTTTGCGGCAAACAGCTGGACGCTTGAACCCAACCTTGTGTACCAGGTCATCTAGGAATCAAGCAAGTGACTTCCAGGAGCGGTGGATTCTACCAAGCCCACCCGAGATTTTCCTTTTGTGACAGCAGCCCTGACACCAGAGGGATGCTTTGAAGATCTTTGGATCTCATGTGATGAAGTGAAAAATTTGGAGAGAAGTCCCAACATGTTGAGTCTGTTAGGTAGCTGTCTCAGATGTCTCATTTACTGGAATGCGACTAGGTACATACAAACATACGCATATTCTTACATATGTTATCTTTTCTCCCCAGAGATTCTTGCCCAAATTGTCTTTTGTGTTCTTAGATCTTTGAACCGCTTTTGAAGACTTGCCAGCCATGGAGATGGTGTTCATCGATGCTGACATGAATCAGACTGATGAGCACATCAGGAACAAGCATTTGTCACGTCATCAGCCAGGTTCAGGAAGTGCTTCATCAGAAGGACAGAAACCTGAAGTCACAATGGCACCATCTCAGTTGTCTGCATTTCCTATGAGTGATGTCAACGCAGTGCATTCTTTCCGACCAAGTGCAGCTTTGCAGAAGTTTGCCCTGCAAGCGCATCCAATTGAGCCTCCTCCAGTTGCCTGCTTTGTTTGAACAAAACATAGTTTTATTGTTTGTAAAAAAGCCTTTTTTGTACAACATGCCAAATCTGGCACCAAGGTTGATGTCGCAAGGCCTCTTGCCACTTCTTCCGATCCAGTTTCCCGACGATTGTTTCAAGAAGATCATGTTGAGGCCAAGCTCCCATACCCATACTTTGATGATGATAAGGCTTTCAACCAATGGGTGGCGGAAACCTCGATGATGGATTCGGGACATGACAGTCAGATTGGGCCGAATATGGGATGTGGGGAGGATGTCTTCAATGAGAAGTCCGAGGTAAAGCCACCGACCACACCTGTCAAGGAGCCCACAGTCCAAGCCAAGTTTGTCCTCGACCCCATGAAGTACAGGGAAGCACAAGCCAAAAAGAGACAGCGATGGAATGGAGTGTGTCTCTTTGTGGATGGGCCAATTGACTATTCCCCAGTCAGTCCTCAATTTGATACTCAGACCATATTACAACTTTTTGAAAGCTCGTTAATATCAGAAAATGTTCTTCACATGGTTGCTCTTTTTGACAACTGGAGGACACCAACCAAAATGCACTGCAACGTGGTGCTTCGACCAACAACTTGCTGGAGGACTGTGCTGCCTCTCCTGCTGATGTACTATGGCCAAATGGCAACCTTTAACATATGACGCCAATTCCTAATCATATTTTTGTCTGTTTTAGGTTTATTCTTATGTTCGTGCAAGTTGGGGCCAACTTAGGGAAACATTTCTAGAGGCTGATGACAACTCACACACCAGTGTGAAGTCCAAGGCTTTGGGTGATGACAAGAAGGAGACGACTGAGATGAAGGAGATGGAGACTGAGGCTTTTGGGTCCAAACCTGATTCTGATTCTCGTGATGGTAAGGGCCAGGTCATGAACGATGAGAGCCAAGTGATTGATGATGGTCAGCTACACTCTGCTCCAAAGCGTTTGCGTTCATCTTGCCCGCCTGTGCTGGCTGCTGAGGACAAATCAAACCATTTGGAACCTGACCACTGTTCATGAATTTGTTTGGAACAATAAGTTTCCATTGATATGTGTTCATACGTGTGGCTTTAAGTGTGTCAAAGAGGAAACTTTGAGTGTTGCTGTTTTGATGCGATAATCCGATACCCAGGAGGATGCTGATGAGCCACAGGAACCCAAGAAGAAAGCTTTGCGTGTTTTGCCTAACATGAGCCCTAACACCCAGAAAAAGGTGAAGGAGCAGCAGATGGAGCGCAAGCGTGCTTCATCACGTCAATGGCATGCAAAGTTCCAAAGCAAGGGAGTTCCATATATTTGATTTGGATGTATGTTTTTTAATAGAACAATGTGTTATGTGGAGCATGTGGAACTAAACTTTTCACACAAATGATGTGATGTGAGGTGCCCCGTGGCGCAGCTTCGTCTTCAGCCAGTTTGGGAGAGGATGGAGGGGACCATTCTGAGGAGCAACCCAAGGCTGATGTGGACGACAAGAAGGCTGATGTGGACAACAAGAAGACATCTCACGCCCACAATGTTCGGTGGGATTTTGTTTCTTTGCTTTGAACTGAATTTTTGAACACCCCTTAAGTGATAAACCACCATTCCTTTTTGTTTCATCCTTATAATTAAGACCTGATGTTTTTTTTTTCGCACGGGCATCGGCTGTGCTAGGTCCTGCCAGGCTTTGCTGGCCTATGGCCGCAAAGGGAGCCGGCTTGGCGCGGAGGCCCCGGCAAGCGCAAGGATCTCCCCGAGAGGGAGATCTGCGGAGCTGGTGGGGCACTGGGGCGCGCGCCAGTCGTCCCCAAGCAGCGTGGGGCACAAGGCGCGCTGGACGGCGACGCCAAGGAGGCCCCACCAGCGGCGGCGCCACCCGGCAGCGGCGGCGGTGCGGACCGCGGGAGGCGCGCGCCGGGCGCGAAGGCGGACGAGGCGGCGCACGAAGGTCAAGGACTCCGTGTTCCAGCGGCCGCCGACCTCGCAGGCGAGGACCAGGAGCTGCTGCGGACCGTCGGCAGCAAGCTCTGGATAACGGCGACGCTTGCGCCGCTCGGCCAGGCGGAGCGCGACACCATCCGCCTCAGCGGCCCCAGGGACGGGGGCACCGCCGCGCGTCAAGGCGGAGACGAGGGTGGCATCGCAGCACCACGTTTCCCCATGTGGCGAGGCGCCATGCACGACCAGGTCGAGTCGGCGGCGGTCATCGGGGGAAATGCGCGGGGTGTTGGTGCGCGCGAGCCACTGCTGCGGAACGACGCGGCCCTCGGCGCCCACAGCCTCGCGGGCGACGCGCACCCACGCGTGCTCCAAGACATGTGCGCGGCGGGCGAGAGCGCCGCTGCGGGGGCAAGCTGCGCAGTGGTCGCCCAAGCGGTCCAGCGGCTCCCCACAGCCGGGAGCGCCGTCACCTCCACAGCGGGCACGCGCCAACGGCAGAGGCAAGCGGAGTCGGCGCCGGAGGGCGCGGTGCATGTAGTGAGGCGGCAGTGTGGTCCCAGGCTCCGAGGGGATGGCGGTGAGCCAGGCGGCGGCCTGGGGGCCGGCTTGTGACCGGAGCATGGCGCGGGACGCCGGGTTGAGGGCTGGGAGCAGCTCGCTCTCTCTGAAGGACTGGTGAAGTACGAGAGAAGCTTGCCGCTGCCAACCGCCAGGCCCAAGCCCCGGACCAGACTGGTCAGTGGAGGCCGCATCAGGTTGGAGAGCATGGAAAAGGGCATGCCACGTGGGGCAGGCGGTCCACCCATGGCGGTGGAGGTGCGTGGCCGCGGCGGCGGCAGCCCGCAAGCAAGGGGCAGCGGCCTCGTCGCCGACCGCGAGTTCACGGACGCATCGGGCAGCGGCATCGGGGTACCGTTGGCGCAGAACAGGGAGGGCGTCTGCCCAAGCGGCCCAATATGCGGCGGGGGCCGTGCGCTCGGCGGCGACGAGGCCGAGCCCGCCGAGCTGCGTTGGAAGGAAGGCGACGTGGCGGGCGACCTGCCAGGCGGGGGTGTTGGCGCCGGCTTCGCCAAGGAGACTTTGCAGGGTGCCCCAAGTGGCGGCATCGTGGGCGGCAGCGAAGGTCGCGGACGCAGCGGGGGGCAGGGTGCGCAGGAGATGGTGCGCACGGGGAGCGGCGCAGAAGGAAAGTAGGAGCCAGGCGCTCTGAAGGTCCGGCAGTGCGGCGATCTCCTGGAGGAGGTGGGCATGAGACAGGTGAGTGTCCCGGGCCGTCTCTGCCACGAACTCGGGCGATCCGATGGGCGAACCTAGGGCGATGAACCCCCGCTGGGCCGGCGGCAGGTCGCCGCGCCAAACGTCGGGCCCAAGCTCCGCGATCCCTGGCGGCGCGCACCCGCCGGCGCCGCTGTAGACCCGCGTCTTTCCGAGGTTGGAGGCGACCCCGGCCAGACGTTCGACATTGTTGGTCACCAGGTCAAAGGCTGCACGGGCGCGAGCCGGCTGCGTGACAATGTACAAGTCATCAAGATAGGCTGCAAGGACGTCGCCTGGGGCCAAGTGGGCCGCGGAAGCCTCCAGCGCGGCGTGTTGCCCTAGGGAGAACAGGGCCGGCGCAAGCGCGTCTCCTTGTTCACATCCTTCAGCTTGGCGGATGTGGTGGCACGCGCCAGAATCGTCCCACCAGAGGTACGTGCTCGTGTGTGCATAGAAGGAGCGCACGAACGGGACGAGGCGAGGAGCGACCTGCAGGAGTTTGTCCAGGAAGGCGGAACGGGAGACGCAGTCATACGCGCTGCGGCCATCG